TTGATCAAAACAGGAGAGATATGCTGTACCTCTAGTCCCTCTTTATTTTTCCTTCCCAGGCCAAGTTAATAGTTACAGTAATAGCAACAGTATTTATTTCCTTTTCAGACTAGCTGATTGATGTGTTGACATGCCTTGATTTATTTGGTGCAGCAACCAAGTGGACTCGGTGCGTTGCTCTGCATGCCAATCCCTTGCATTCTGTAGGCATCACTCTTGTGTATTGCCTTGTGTATATGACAGAGTGACTCTAATCGTTTAGCAATTCGTACTTCATCTGGACAAGGGAATTGTGAGAGGATCTGAATTCTGTTTCTTTTATTGGAGACAATGTATTTAACACCACCAGTTAAGAAAATTTACATGCATCAGTATTGTGAGAATAAAGACTACAAGATCTTTATAGGAAGCAGATTTTTTTTTTCTAATATAAATATATATCCATGCATAAAGAAAGGATATAATAATGGGGGTTAAGGTCTGTATTTTCCAAAGCAACTGCTATAGTGGCTAATGACTTTGGAAAGTATATGGTAAGTCAGACATGAGATCAAATGAAGGAAAGAGGGCTTCATACTAGGAGAGCAATGTTTACTGAGAGATAGCTGGAGCATCTGGAGATGAAAGGCAGGGCCTACCAAACCAGAGGGTCAGGAATAGAGATTAATTGCTTCCTACACTGTACCTGACCCAGATTGGGACTGTCTAGATTAGCTTTTGCAAAGCCACTAGATCTGTCATGCAAGCTGTTATTTTCTGCTTTCTCTGTTCTTAGTAAATGCCATTTTCCACAGCCCATGAGGCTTCATTGTGTGGTTTGGATTATCGGTCGCTTCAGAAGCTTGTTCCCTGGCATCAGCAGATCAAGGAACTGAGGCTTCAGGAAGCCCGGGGCTTTGGCTCCAGGAGGCAGGGACCAGGCACAGCCCTCTGTTTGCTTAGTGGTGGGCAGAGTCCATCCAAACAATGCCAGTGGAATTGTCTTTCTGGGCTACCTCTTCTTGGTTACCCTTCAGAATAGTTATTCTGCAGTGCAGGTGAAGGAAATTATTGTTATCATTAGATTGTGATACAGGTTATTTAAAGGCAGGAGACTTAGAATAATGAAAGATTGTGTTGAGAGAAGAAATATAAAGTAATAAATAAAAAACCTTTTTAGATGGCTTGGAGGCAGATTTGGAGAGCAGAGAACTGACTGCCCTTGGCTTCAGCCTAAAACCTAGGGGAAAACCCTCACTTTTTTCTAAGCATTTTTTTCTTGGGTGACTCCTGGCTATTTTGGACTAGTGTGTGAATTCCCTTTTGCTACAGGATTGCTCTGATTTATCTTCAAAGTGTATTTCTCTTGGTTCATTACTTTGACCTAAATTCTGTCTTTCATTGGTGACTGGTGTTTTTTAGATTTTATTTCTTCTCTAAATCTGTTAGCTCCAAACTGCATTTTTCCTCTGCAAGTGGTTTCTGTGGTTTGTTTTTTGTTTGAGGTTTTGTTTTGGGTTTTTTTTTTTTTTTGGTCAGATGTTCTCTCTCCTGAGAGGCTGTTGTCTCTTTATCAATATTTTATCTGTCTGTAAAGCATACTTCTGTGGGGTAGCTGTTTATTATAAAATAGTGTCTCTCTAAAGTGGATCTTATCAGTTCTTGATCTCTTTCTGTCTTGTCTACCTCTTCCTTAGCTAGCTGAGTGGCTTTAAGAACTGTACCCTATCTATTTTAACAAAATGAAATGCAATCATTATAATGGCAAATATTAAACAGCAAAAGTAGATACATCAGAATCCAGTACAACTTCCAGCAGATACTTAGGACGGAGCTTGATATTGTGCCAGGTGTTTATAGGTACAAGAGAAAAATTCTGTGCATTTCATTCAAATGTAAATATTGCAAAATTGGTTTTCATGGAGTTTTCATCAAAATTAAAACAGTAAAATAAATAGCAGAAAATGCCATATATACTGACTACCTTCGTCTTTTTTTTTTTTTTTTTTTTTTTTTCTGTCGTATGAGCCAGGCTAAACATTATTGATTCAAATGCTTTCTTAATCCAACTCTTTTGATTTTGGTGACACTGAACTAGTGATGAACCTGAACCATGAACTTTACAACATTGCCTTAATTCTACTCTTTCTTTAGCGTATGGCAGCTAAATTACTGATGCTGTTAGAGACAAAATAATTTATGTCAGGAGATTATAAAAGCAGAAAAAAAAAAAAAAGTGGAAGACAATATTTGTGAAAGTTTCTTCTTGTTATTTGAATGTAGATAGATGGTAGGTAGAAAGGAAATTACTTTTAATGCAGGCTGCACGTTTCAATAATGACAAGTATGTTTCTCTCAAGAGTAAACTGGAGCCTCAGAGCTCGTTTACAGATACCTTGATAGAAATAATTGCATTATTTCTCCTCTGTCTGTAGGCAGTCACTGAGAGCTTTTTTCGAGGTACTCTTCTTGACACAGACGATTTTGCAATATATACATACAAAAAAAACCTATGCAGTTTTAAAAATAATTTCCTTAATGCATATTACATATTGTCCTTTCAATAGCACTAAGTACTTCTGGCAACCTCTTAAGGTATCCATTATTCATTCTTCATTAGCTGATACTCCAGTCTACTCAGGAAGTACAGAATTCAAAGATCTTGAGGTTCAGTGCATGGTAGTATTTTCTAACCATGTATTGCTTGATATACAGCTATAGATCAGGGATGTTCTGAAAGTCAGATGTTCAGCAACTCAGTCATGATTTCTTTTTTTTATACACAAAGATCAAGAAAGTGTCCAATAAATGATGTTTGAAATAACAAAAATTTCAGGATTTTTAAATTTGCTTTTTGACTTTTAAGCCTTCTGAATTCACTGAGAGCATGTTTTCTTTTTCTTCACTGAAACTGTTAGCTCAGTCTTTTGACTGAGTCCTGATCTTATGCTGTAATGAGACAGACTTTTGCTGCTTCAGTAATATAAAAAGGCCTTAAACCTTCCCTGCTTGGAATAGTGCTCCTCAAAGTGCAATTCTGCTTTATTGCTGATGCTAACATGGCGGTGTTGGGGTTTTCCAGACAAGTATGTCTGGAAAATGGAAAAAGATTGGTCTGCTGCCATCCATGCCTCAGAATGGAAGGAACACAGATTGCTTTGCATGCTCCAATTCTACATCCTTGCTCTGAGGACTCCTCAGTTCTAGTGTGTTTTCCTAGAAAAGTTGTTAAAATTTACTTCAGTTAAGTATGTAATTTTTAATTCTCATACTTTGCTAATATTGTGGGTTTTTAGATGTCAATATGAAAATTGAGGCCCTGTTGAAAATAGATTATTGCATTTCCACAGAAAAAGTCTTTTAACTTCTGTGCCAGCTGGGCTGGTTATCTATGCTTTCCAAATATTCACAGAGCAATAAGAAGATATTACTTGATAATTGGAAGATGCGTTTTGCTGCTTTTAATTGAAAGATATTTGTTGCTATTATTGATTGTGAAGCATATCCCTATCTATATCCTATGGCTTCTGTATAAATGTGTGCTATTAATAACTATAAATAAATGTCAGCCAATAAGGACTTTGGGGGTTTGAGAAAACAATCAAGAATGACAAAAACTGGTGGCATACAAATACTTGCAGGTAAGACAGATCTGCAGCATTGCCATTTGTCCTCCTGACCTTGTTGGTTAAGCTGTTTATTATTGCCTCATTTGTATTATCTGCAGGCTAGCTGTATTGAAAAATGCCTTAAAACAAAGGGCGCAAAACCATTTCACAGCACTGAGGGTTACATGTTTATACAGGTAAAGCAATGCAAGGAAAGCTTACAAGAGTCTTCTCTTCTCCAGGAGCTTCACTGTTTTTGTACCTTGTAGATCCTGTTCTCTAACCCTTTCTCCTGCATTTGTTTTGGTATGAGTTATGTGAGTACACAGGTTATCCAGCAACATGATTTTCAAGTGCCAGTACTATTAAAAGATCACCGATTATGAAAGCTACTGACTACAAACATGAAAATACAATCATTTGTGATTTTTTTTTAGAAATATCTGAGGGTTTGTAAAAGTGCTTGCACTGAGGGATGTGTATGTAATGTGTATGTTTGTAATGTGAAATATCTATTGGTCATTGGTCATTTCCCTTGTAGCTCTGATATGCCTTAAAATACCTATTTTAGGTTTGCCAGAACCAAACAGAGACAGTATATTCCAAGGACTGACAATGGATCAAGGATTCTACACATCTAAAGACTTCCTACCTTTGGTAGCAATGGCAAGTAAACCAGGTGTGTGACGATGTGTTTTTGTTGTAATAATGTTCAGTAAGTCATTAGCAGTTATTGATCTATCAAAATGGCCAGCTGATTATACAGCAGCACATCCAATTACAAAACACCTCCCAGTGAAGAGGTCTGGAGCAGGGTATTTATTATCTTGGTTAGTTGCAACCTCAAGAGTGTGGTCAGAAAAATGAAGTCCTAGAGACTGTAAAACAAATAGTCATATATAAAAAAATTAAGCACGTGGCAAATCATTGCCCCTAGTAAGTTGTATTTGTTATTTTGAATTATATTCAAAAGATTTCATAAGCTTCTCATTTGTATAAATTAACTTGATAAAAATAATAGATTTTTTCAAGACCATCTTCTATATACTAAAAGATGTTGCTGACCCATACAAATCTGCTGCTTTTTATATTGTTGATAAATTATTTCACTTGATCCCAAGTCATGTGCGGCATGCTTTGCACACACATTTGAGGGAGCACTTGTTCCTTACCCAAAGAACCTACAGTCTAAGGCTGAGGATGACAGTAGCATGCCAGGAGTTAAGGCAATACTTAGTTCATAGGCACAAAACACAGTCTTGTTTTATGTGGTTTTACATCATTTTTTTTGAGTACAGAGATGGCTGCATTTGCACCCCAAAGAGAATAGCTGTTTTCAGTGGCCTTGAATGTGAAGTCAGAAGCCCTAGATGGATGTATGAGATGAGACTTGTGATTTTTATGTCATGTTCCCTCATGATCTAAATTTTCCAAAGTGCTGATAGAAAAGAAATTCCATGTACAGTTTTCTGGACATATATTTAATGCAGTATGTGGTCTTGTACACATGACTACATATTTAAGCACAGATACATCTTTTTTATCTACAACCTGGTTTTCTTCTGAGCATTCAGAAATTTATTCAAGTATCATACAGGATTGCCTGCTTATTTAGCAGACTTCCCATAAAAAATGTGTTTAAGAACATATCTTCTGCAGCAAGTTATTCTGCATAAAACTAAACTTTATAACCTTATTTTATGCAAAATATTTAAGAAGGGAAATTCTACATCCTCTCTGTCCCATCTCTGCTTTTTGGATCAAATGCTTATTTCTGTCTGTTTTCTTAAGCTCAAAGGGAACTCAAATGATTTGAAAGAAATGGTAGTTTTTTGTTGTGTTGTTTGGTTGTATGTTTGTTTTTAAGAAAGTGATGTTTAAAAATGAAACAGATTGAGAATCTGCTGTTTAAAACATCTGTAGATTAACAAAGGAGAAATAAATCCTGCAAAACAATCCTCTTTTGTAACAATTGAACTAAAAATGCTTTATAGAATTCTCTATGGGAACGTATACTGTAAGTTACCTGCCTGCATGAGTATCTATGTACTATAATCTGCATCTTTTAACACTTTGCAGAATAGGACTTTCAATTTAGCAGGATGTGATTTTTTTAAAAAATATTAAGTCTACAATGAAAAAAGAGATGAACTTTGAAGAACTAACCTGTCTGACAGACAGTTATAGATAGCTCTTTGGTGTTTGTTAATTAATGTGGTCTCTTTTATTTAATTTTCCTAGAGTCTATCTGTAGCTGTAGCCACATCTTGCTCTCCGAAACATGGAATTTTAAAATAAAATATACATTTCCTATATCATACTCTAAGATCCTCATTTTTTTACTGGAACAGTTCTCTAAGTAATAGGCATAATAGACTTCTTCACAGTAAAATATATATTCAGCCTGCGTATTAAGTTCTGAATGCCACTTGTTAATATGCTTTCCTTCAAAAAGGGCTTCCCCTTGCAAATGCAAATCTGTGTATTTACCTTGGCAGTGGCCTTATTACCAAGAGTAAAGTGGGCTGCCGTGACTGATCCCTTCTAGAATAGTGCTGTCATGGCACTCTGAGCTGCCACTCCCTTGCTGCACTTGTGCTTTTTCCACTATAAATAAATAATAAATACAGTGCTATATACTTCGGGAAGAAAAAGATAATGTTTGCCACACATTAAGCATTGTATAAATGGAAAGAGAATATGTGCATTGGGATATTGTTTCTCACTCCATTTTATATGTGGAAATTAAATGCACTGTTTCCTTGAATTGTACTTATGTTTCTTTACATTTGTACATGAAAATCTCAAGCTACTATAGCAGGATACTTCAGTTACAGTGCAATGATTAAATGGTCAGCTTAGCACCTCCTGACTGAAATTATCATGGGCTTTTTGAGAATATAGATATATATTGTTTATGACATTCATTTTTAATTTGAAATAATTTGTCTAATCAAGAGTGACTTGTATTTAAACTTATGATAAAGTGCAGTTTCCTACAAGAAACACACACGGTTCAGTATTTCATGTATAATCAAATGCAAGCTGTAAATGACAAACACATAGTTGTCATTCTTTCTGTGTAACTTTTTGCAAATTGTTTAGATTTATAAATTAACTGTAGATTAAATGTTTTCTCCCAGTGGATAATCTAGGAATTACTGTAATAACAATATTCTTTCTGCCTCATGTTCAGCTGCTTAAAGAATAGCCTCTAAGAACCATTTCGTAGCCAAAACTGTCAGTGCCTTGTAGAAAAAAGGGGACTAACTTTGAGAAACTATTACACAAAACTATCAACAACCGTTCACCTTTTGAAAAATATCTAATATTATTCTTTACAGTCTGTTAAAGGGTGTTATTTGTTTTGTTTTTAACTGGGAGGATGATGAATCTGGTAAGAGAGAAGCTTACTTTTTGAATAAAAAGATCTCACAACGCTAATTTCAACCTGACAAGACCCTCAATCCTACAAACGTGTTGTCATTTGAATTCTTTCCAGACAGAAAGGTGCAGCTGCTTTAGAGTACTGACTATGAAATTATGTATATGAGTATATCTTAAAAGTGGGAATAAAACTGTCTTTCAGTGAAGCAGAATAATTTGATAGTGACACTCCATGCTTGGAAACTGTAAGATGCAATTTTACACTGCTTTGAGTACAAGTACCTTTTGAGCTGTCATGCAGAAATGGTTTCTCTACTTGAAAATGGGGTTTCCCTTTCATCTTTCAGGGATGTGTGCCTGTCACACTCCATTGCCATCAGTACATGGAACTGTGATTGTACTTGGGGCAGGAGACACTGCTTTTGACTGTGCGACATCTGCTATACGCTGTGGAGCTCGTCGTGTGTTTGTGGTCTTCAGGAAGGGATTCACTAACATCAGGGCTGTCCCAGAAGAGGTAAATTTGAGTAACAGCATTGATGAGAAAGGATGCTGGTTGTTACTTCTACCAGGCCTGAAAGCGTGCACCTAAAAGACACCTACTGAAGGGTTTTTTTAGTAGGAGTGCTCTTAAAATACACAACAGTGTTTATTAGAGAGTTAAGATTCACTTTATATCATCTCTGTATAAATAATTTTCCGCTATTGTACCAGTTTCCTGTAAAGTCAGAGAGATATGTTTGCCTATGGTGGTAGAATATCTTGTAAATTAGAAAATACAGTAAAATTTTTAATCTTGGAAGCACCCCAGAGTTCAAACAGCTATCTGAGTATTGTAGGGGACTCTTCAGGTCATGGTTATGTCCTAGAGTGATACCTTCTGGCTGCTCTCTGATGAATCTTGGTGATTCTGATGTTGCCTTGGGAACCTATAAAATCTTGTGAGAAAATTACTTACAATGATTTTGGTTTCGAATCACTGCCAATGGCATTAGAGCATGTCATTCATCGCAGATTTCAGTGTTGAATTTGATTTTTAGTTTGGCTTTATGCTTTGGCATTTATCAGGACATCTGCACATTTTGAAACTGACTCTACTTCCTCAAAGCATCTGTACTACAGCAGTTTTTTTCAGATTAGATTTTCTTGTTTTGGAGGTATTTTTCCATTATCATTTATTTGATACATACTTCACACTTTTGCATACTTGAGGATATCAGGACATCTAATGCATCCTTATAATTAAATTTATGGTAGTTTGGTAGTCTGTTTCAGGAAAGTGGGCATCTTAGAGATCCTATGGGAGGAATGGAGGTGCTAAAAATGTAGAGGTTCTCTTGATGCATAATTTACTTCTTTTTCACTTCATTTATGAGTTCTAGGTACAATGTGATGACTGAAGCCATTGCACAGACAGACTCATGCTATTCAGATTCTGACTAATCAAGAATCAGCTGTCATTATGAACCAAAATCTTTGTTAGAAATCTGGGTAAATTCCAAAAAGTTGTCAATGTACTCATCCAATTATGTAGTGGCCTTGAAAGAAACTAAAATAAAGGTAGCTTCCGCTAGTAGTTGCCATTTTAGAATGACATCAAGTTGGATATCACGTGTTCAAAAAAGTTGTCATGTAAACACAGACAATCAAATCCTGAAGACTTTGCTAAAATAAAAATTTTGATTTCAGCAGTTTTACCACAGCAGAGATTCAGAAGATTTTAAAGTTGGATTGTCATTCAGAAAACTGTTGTTTGCTCATGGTAGTCAACATTTAATAACACCTTAATGTCACAGTAAACAAAATCAGGGTGTGTACTTAACAAATACTAGGTCTCTTCTTAAAAGACTCAGAGTTACATAAAGTAACTCTTTTGCCCTCAAAAGAGTTATACATATTCAAAGTAACAGGGAACAGTATGGAAATATAATGGAGAAACATTTGTGTTGCAAATTTACCTAGTGCCATTGTCTAGAACCGCTTGATTTAGTAGCAGGGGAGGCCCTGAAGTTGGTATTAAAATGACTGTCTGTATACCTCACACAGATGACTTCTACACAGACGAATGCTACGCAACATATTGAATCAAAAAATGTTTTATGGTGTTTTTCCATAAAAACACAACGTTCAAGTTATATATTTTATTGCTTCTCCTCTACAGATGGAACTTGCAAAAGAAGAGAAGTGTGAATTTCTGCCGTTCCTCTCCCCTCGGAAAGTTGTACTTAGAGGTGGACAAATTGTTGCTATGGAGTTTGTTCGAACTGAACAGGACAGTGATGGAAACTGGAAAGATGATGAGGATCAGGTTGTCCGTCTGAAAGCTGATGTGGTGATCAGTGCCTTTGGCTCCATTTTAAGCGACAATAAAGGTAACCCTGAGTAATGCATTCTGCAAATGCTGATTGCTACTTTACCTGCTGCCATTTCTGTCCTTTGACAGTCTGTGAAATGAGCCTTCCGGAGGTTATACAGCTTGTGACTGCTGGCCCTCTTCACAGGAATTTCTCTGCCTTTTAGGTATACCTCTTAGAATAAAGCTTGAGGGTCTGATAACAAAACAGTTTTCTGCGTATCACTGTATAAAGCAGGAACTCAGATTAGAGGTACAGTTGCCAAAATATATCCTGATTTCTTTTCAGTGTAAATGGGAGAATACTGTTGGGGATTTATTCTGGTCTCACTAATTAATTTTGGAGAAACTCATTATATTACAACTTTAAACTGAATTGATCTGATCTCTGAAACATTTTTATATTTATTTTTACCTATGAAATTAAGCAAGAATTAAGACAGCTTCATTGTTCTAGTTCAGCTGGTCTAAGCATCGCTCATTTCTTGTGCGTACTCCAGAAACTATGGCTTCTCTCATATATACAGGATTTGTTAAATTCACCTGTGCTTGTGTCAGCTTGTAGTTGCACTTCTCAAGCTTAGGTCATAAAAGTTAACGATTACATAGTTCCGTAGTAAAGATGGAGAAATTGGCACATAGATGACATTTCAGAGATTGAACAAATTGTCTCGATGTAGTGGAAAGAGAGCTGAAAAACATGCATAGAACTAAGAACATGGGAGAACTAAGCAGAGCTCGGACTGTTCTCCTCTGACACTAGGTTAGATTTAAAGAGTTCAGGCACATACATCAAATGTGCCTCGAAAGTAAAAACCACTGACTCAGTAGAAGATAGATTGATAAAATGAATAGATCTTCAGCCTTGAGAAGATCATCAAGGTTAGCAGGTTCTGAAAGCCTCAATGATCAATGTGCCTACCTCTCCAGGGCACAGTTGTGCAAGCCAATTAACCCATAACATGTTGTCATGGTCCTTTGGGTATAAATGCTTTGACAGAGAACTTGGCAAGTGCCTCAGAGTGCACATCACCAGAAAATCTGGTAATCAGATGCTGATTCTGCCGGTGCAAAGGGAGTTTCAAAATTTCTTAGCATAATGTGGTTTTGTGGATCTTTTTAATCAAGGAAACTCATAAATCTAAAGTAATCTAAGCAGAGTCTAGTAGCATTTGTGGACGTACCTCAGGCTTATAAAATATATGAATTCTCACATCTACATTTTCTGTATGTTTTAAATGAAGTTAAAGAAATGAGTTTTCTGATAGTTTCTAGACTTACCAGTAAAATTATGCAAAATGTGTACTGACTTCACAGGAAAACAAAACATTAGTTAATGAAGATAAATTGTGGGATCCATTGAAGAATTTGAGAATATAGCGACTAGCAGAGTTGTCTATAATCTGACTGAGCCACTTCCTGTTCACCAGTCCAATTGTATATAAAGTTAGACCATCAGACAGCCATGAGAAGAGTCTCCTACAGTAAAAAAGAGGGATGGACCTCGTTCCTTGAGGAACCTGTGAAGCTAGTTCCAGGACCATTCCTATCCTGAGTGTATTCCTGTTGCTTTGGGATAGGTTTGTGCAGCCTAGGGTGTTATCTGGGCAGCAGCTGCACCCAGCTACACCCAGTGCTAATTACACAGGGGTGCCTCCTGCTCCAAAGGGCACAGGAGGGCTGCAGTCTGTCTCTTTGAGAGAACAGACTCCCATTCCACTTGAAGGTGTATTGCTGTATGAATAGTCTGGTATCTGTGCTGATCATGTTTTGGGGCTCAGTCTAACCTCCAGGAAGCAGGGAGAAGATGATTAAGATTTTTTCATGAACTACTCTGATGGTGGCTTTGATTTGACTGAGAATTTTGGAAAGTTTTGTTGTGTTTTAAAGCCTCTGTTTATTTTTTTTTTTTTAAAGTTTTTCTAGAACCTCGTGATAAATCAAATGTTAGCCTATTCAGTCAGTATGTCTTGTGATTCATAGACCCTATGATAAAGCAGTGATTGTGTTTTCTCCCACATTAAAAACTGCTTCAGCTAGAAGGTTGAACTTACTATATGGCTTAGCTGTAGTACGGTGCCAGCCTTTTATTTCTTAGTACGTATTCACTGTCTAAATTAGTGGTTTTGAGATTTTTAAATAGGAGTATAAAATGGGAGGGGAAGAAATTCGTGCAGTGAGCTGATCATGAAAAGAGAGTCATTTACCTTGGGAGTGAGCAGTACACCTCTGTTTTGCATTGTATTTTTGGTGAAACTGCTAAAAGAAAAGCAATCAAATTAGGACGAAAAATGCAAAGCATTTGGTTTGGATGTTGTGAAAGTGAAAAAAAACCTAAGACCTGAAGAATAAAGTGTTTATTTTGAATATGCCATTTCCATTGCTTTTAATTTTTTATTTGACTAAGCTGTCCTAATGAAAGTCAAATTTCATACTGACCATTGAGCTGGACTAAAACCAAATCTCAGCATACATAACAAAAAGAATTTTTTTAAAATCAACATGAAAAGCACTGTATATTCTAAGTTGTTTGGTTTTTTTTTCTTTAAGAAAGAAAAAAGCAGCACATTTTTGTATTAAAGGGATGGAGATATTCAGATATTCTCCATCAAAAGATGGAGATGAAAATATTTGAGCTACTCAAAACTGGACAATGCCATAAGCCAACTGACGTGGAATGGGTTGCCCAGGGAGGTAGTTGAGGCCCCATCCCTGGGGGTCTTTAAGGCCAGGCTGGATGAGGCTCTAGACAGCCTGATCTAGTGGGAGGTGTCCCTGCTCATGGCAGAGGGGTTGGAACTGGGTGATCCTTGTGGTCCCTTCCAGCCCTGACAGATTCTGATCTGTTTTAGCAGAGGACTTTAGAGCCCTAATGGCTCAATGGTTGGACTTGATGATCTTAAAGGTCTCTTCCAACCTAAAGGATTCTATGATTCTATGATCTGACTTGGAACTTGATCTGACATTGAAGAATGGGATGGACTAGGTGACCTCCAGAAGGCCTTTCTAGTCTGAATTATTCTGTGACTGGATGACTCAGAATTGATGCGGGCTGAATAAACTTATTAACTGTTGCTCATACAAAGAGCTCTATCAACTGACCTAATTCATAAGGCACCTCAGGGAACTGCAGATGCAGTATTGGTAAGGGCTAAGCTATCCGGTTATGTCCTATTTGTTATTACTGTTGTTAAATGTTGATGCTACTGATACAAAAATAAAGAAAATAGTATGAAAACCAGAGGGATCCAAATCAGACTTAGCCCCAGTTTAGCAGTGTTCAGAGCAGCCTTGATGCTCTAGTTTCAAAGTTTTCTGTAACAAGACATAAGCACGTGGGTGACTGCTATTCTGAGCAGAAATAGCTTGTAGGTTAGAAAGCTTCTTCTGGTTTATCATCATCAACAAGATGTCTCTTATTCTTACATGGTAACTATTAAATTTGCAATTGAGACTCAGTCTGCTCACAGTAGGTATTTAGTCTTCTTTGTTTTGTTAACAAATGCCCTAAGTCCATTTTATGCTCGGGAAGTTGCTAACAGACAAAACAGAGGGGTTGCCTTCTAGACTGTTTTAAGAACATTACCATCTTACTGAAACCAGTAAAAAAACCCCAACCAACCACACAAAAAAACCCAACAAATTATTCAAATCAAACTGCTGCAGATGGAGTAAGAAAAATGTTTTGCTTCATGTTGGGGGAAAAAAAAAAACAAACAGATTTTGCAAGCACAAGCTGATTTTTTTTTTTTACTGTGTATCTTACCAAAGCCTTCAAGCCATCATAACTGACCCACATACACAAAGAACTGTGAGAGAATTTTGTACCTTCCTTGTGTTACTGCTCTTTTGCTTGGTTTGTTATTTTGGAGGCCTACATTGCATTAGTGAATTATTGAAATATTTTCTTCTGTGACCATTCTAAATTGCAACTACTCCATATATACAAATGTAATTCTGTGTACTCCTTAGTGCTGCATGCAGCCTCAACATCATGCTGAACACCAATCCTGTTGGTTTTAAAGTCTAAACTTTGAGTACCCTTTTTCTTATCTATTTTGTTCTGATATGCAAAAAGGAACAATAATTTTGGAATGCAAAATTTTGCACTGGAACAAATGTCCTTGTTCTGATTTATTTTCCTGAATTTCACAGGAGAACCATGGAGAAAGTCTGGAAAATAGTGCACTTGTTCAAAACAAGTGCAGGACAGAGGACTAAGGCGGGATAGGGAACTGGCAGTGGAAGTTCATTTCAATACTCTCTTTAGCATGTAGCAATAAAAAGGAAGTATTACCATTTGCCAGAACACTGCATCTTAGGATGAAAATGTGTATTTTATTTTCCTGGAGAGACAAAATAGGGGAATGCAAAAGTATCCAAGCAAACTCCAAATACTGCTTTTGCAAAAGACCCTGGAAATAGTAGGCTATTTGTGAGCAAAAACGTATTTTATTAAATCTTTCTTAGTAGCTAGCTCTTGCATGGTAACTGAAGGGCAAAATTTTTTTTTCTGGAAATCAGTCACAATTTTCAGATATTTTTGTTTTACTTTTACTATCATCTTGCTTGGAAACTGCAGTAGCAAAGCCCAGAGGGCTTACTAGAAAGCAAATATAAATTTACTCCAATAGTTTACAGTTTTATTATTTAGCCCACTCTTACTTAATATTGATTACTATAGATTGAGAATCATTTACTAAGGAAAAAATGAAAAACCATGTAGAGCTCTGAGCTCATATGTGTAAACTATTTTAGTTTTCCTTTGTACAAGTGCAGAACTTCAACTGGTAGAAAACTCAGAAAACCTGCAACAAGTGTTGAGTTTCTTCATACAGCCAACTCAGACAACTGGGTAGTTACAGTCTCAAAACACTCAAGCCTTTACTATCTAACAAAGACTAGGAGGGAAGAAGAGAGGTGGCTGTGATGACCCAGCTGGGGTTGCCCACAGGGGTGACTTGGTGTCTCTCTGGTAGCACAGCATCTGCCTCACACCCACAGAATAGACTTTTAGTCACCATATTTTTTAAAAAAAATATTATATAAAGGTGAAATTTATGTAGATTCAAGAGATTCCTAGTGAAATAGGTAGGAGCTGCTGAGTTATTTGGAGTAGGGTTTTCCTCCACAAATAGTTTTACTGAATGAGTTTGTGTGCAGCAGTTCCATGCCCTGCAGTGGTTCCCAATTTCCAATATACAAAAATGGCTTCATGATGACTTCTAAAGCCCGGTTAACCATAGAGCAGGAGTTCTGCTCTTTCACCCAGCAGACATCAGAACATTGCTGGTGAAAGGCAGAAAATAAAGTCTTGCAGCAGGAGCTAGCAAACCTGGACCTAGCTTTATCCAGTGAAACCACTTTTTAATCCTGGTTCAGTATGTTAGTGGGGCAGAGACAGCAGGAAGCATGGCTGTGCCATTCTTTATTTCCTGGGCATTTAGACTGGGCAGTGTCAGCAGTTAATCAGTTTATTGGTGCGTGTGACAGCTGTAGTTTTACATTTCAGATTAAGAAAGTTGCAGTATATTTGTATTTTTCTGAAGTAATGCTACTATTCACTGCAAAGGAATTCTGTAAGATGGATATCAAAAATAACATTAATGAGCTACTAAAGCTAAAATTACAGGAACTTATGAAATTGGTTAAACATAAAAACCATTAAACTGTTTATTGAAGCTTCACAGATATACTGCAGCTAATGAGCATTTCTGCTATTTAAATAAGCCCAAATTGAACACACATTACATGGATACATAATTAGTCATGGCAGTCAAACACACACAGACTCACTTTTAAAGCTTTATTTGAGAAATATTTTCCATTTGATTTGTTTTGTTAATTAAAATATTTTTCTGTATTCACTTATATTTTAATATTGTTTTTGCGAGTGCTATAATTTACTGCTGCTTCTCCATTTGTGTTTGTTTGCTTTGTTAATATAGCAAATTTGGAATATATATTCAGAACTGTCTTTTTGTTCTGTGTTATTTGTGTTAGCATCACTTAATAGCATCAGAATAATTCGATTGTATGTTGTCTTTCATCTGGAAGGATCTTTTCAAATGATATATAATATCTCACCAGGATATGGAGAAGGCAGCACAGCCATGGGATTATACTTTGGATTTTCAAGAGAAAACCCATGTTAGTTTTAAACTTTAAAGGGTGTGAGGTTTCAGGGATTTAAAAGACACATTATCTACTTTGCTTATTGTTCAGTGTCAAATGGCAATTCAGAGAACCAATAGTTGGGGTCACCTCCTTTTAAGCACAGGTTTGGCTTCTAGACTCTCTCTCACCCCTTGCAGGGGCAGAAAAAAGACTTCCCTTTGTGAATACCAAAGTTTTCTCCTTTTTTATGCAGGTGTTCTAGGAGGTGATCCCTTCAGCCTCACAGTTGCCCTGGGTACTAGATCCAAATTGTGAGGACATTAGGAACTCTTACATAAGATGCTTTTAAATCATACCTTTATTTTTACTTAACCTAAATCTTGGAAATTATAAAAAAGACAGAAGGAAATAGCTGCTGAATACCACATCAACCTTGCCACCAGGGAAATGTTCTTTCCCT